ATATTGATTTAAACCTTCATGGTTTTCTCATATTAACTGATTTTAAAATCGGGACTTGATCGTGTATAAAAATATTTTACCTCGACGTTTAGGACGTGATGCGACGTCCCGATTTCAAAATCAAATAATGAATTCATAATCATAACAAATCTAGTGGACTAATTTCACAAAAAATTTTAATAAATCATTTGATCGAAAAGGGACATCTGCGTCAGTTGTGATACCTGTAAAGGTATCGGCTGCGGTGAGAAGGTTATTCAGAAATCTCTCCCTAGATGTCACTAGCGGCGATGAATGCTGAAAAAGTTAGTACAAAGATCTATAACAAAAACACATAGAAGAATTTTGACGGCTCGGTAAATGGTACCGTGGCTCAGATGGTTAGAGCAGGGGTTCCCAAACTTATTTTGTCTACTGCACTACAACACTTGCACTTTGAGAATAAATTATTTTTTAGCGCCTCCATTTTTTCACCTCATTAAAAACCACTATAACTTAAAATTAAATTAATTATTGTGCTATATTAGCGGAGATTAAACAATCATTCTAAACGCGACTTACTATAACCCGCAAGAGTTAACTTGAGACCTGAGCGCAGTAGGTAGTACACAACGGCGCCCAGGTCTCAAGTTAACTCTTACTGCTGTGCATTGCGTTATTCATAGACAACATTTGGTTGCTAGAAATTTAAGTGAACGACTATTTCAATCACTGAATATCTCATCAAAGCAGTCAATAAAATTCTTACCAGCTCTTTGAATGATAGATTATTTCATCAGATTTGTGTTACTAATGACGAAGATTTCAACTGTTTTTTGTTTTATACTGAAGTTCGTTGGCTATCAAGAGGCAATTGTCTGACTTGATTTTACAACCTGTTTGACTCTGTGATAGAGTTCTTGGAAACTGAAGATACAGAATTGCGCAACAAGCTCAGAATGATAGCTTATATATAGCTTACATGACAGACCTGTATAAATTGCTCAACGACTTGAGTCTCCAACTGCAAGGCGATGATCTAAATTTAATTAAAACAAAAAATGTCGTTGCTGCTTTCGCAGCCAAACTGCTTCTACACAAAAAGAATATGGGCAGACGTGAGTTTCACAATTTTCCGAATTTATCAGTATCCTACAGTAACGACGACGGGTTATTGAACAAAAACTTGTTAAAACATGATTGCCCGCGGTCTATTATCTACGAAAATTACCTGTCTAGGAATACTAATAACCTTAGAATAATAACGCATAGAATGATAGTTTCATATCAAACGAACTGTCACAAGTGAGGCAAAAATCAAATTCATGTAGGCTAGATTTAGTAGTAGTAGTAGTAGTAGTAGGTTAATTTTCGGTTTTACTGAATATTTATATAAAAATAGAAGTTGAAACGCGTTACTTCCTTGTGGAATGTGATGTTAGTATCTATTTTATGTTTGTCTGACGTATTTTTACACTCATTTACCGCACATTTCGTCATTTTTAGCTAAAATTCTTGATCTGTTCGCGGTGCAAGTTGACCTTGAGCACTGAAGGCCCGCCCGCTCGTGTAGGCCCTTTTGGCGCCCTTCAATTTGTCTCACTTAGCGTGTGCGGACTAGGTTTCTATGCGTTATTATTCTAAGCTAATAACTATTAAAATGCGAAACTGTGCCTGTTGCCTTTTTATTGGTTTGTTTGTGTAGACACAAACAAAATTTTTAATTAATTAATTTTTATTTTATTTATTCAATAAAACAGGACAGACATATGAACTACACGGAGAGACATACTGAACCGAGTTAGTTTGAGCAATCTCTTAATTATATAACTATAATAACTGCCTCCGTGGCCGAACGGTTACCATGCCGGACTGCCACGCAGAGGTCCCAGGTTCGATTCCCGGGCCGGGAGAAATGTTTGTATGGCTTACATTTATTTCTCTCGTGAGTTTGGGTGTAATTTGTGGTTGTCTATGTGTGTGTCCATGGCACCCGCGACATGATGAAATTACAAATATCCCCCTAATAACTCTACACAACGCCCCTATTTTTTTTTCTGGGTCTCTTACCGCACCCCTTTAGGCCTGCAGCGCCCACAAGGGGGCGTTATCGCCCACTTTGGGCAAGCCTGGGTTAGAGAGCAATGTCACGGTGCAGCATGGATGTGGGTTCACGTCCCACCGGGTCGACGAAATTTTTTTTGTATTCGATCATTGTATTCATAATCATAACAAAACTAGTGGACTTATTTCACAAAATTCTCAATAAATATATCACATAATGAAGTTTTTGTAGCAGTAGAGCTCCGTGTGAAACAGTTCGTCCAGGGAAGTACTGCCATCTTACCTATTTCAGCCTCCAAGCAGTAATGTGAGCATTACTGAGCATTACGGTTTTGAAGGGTAAGGGTGCTGGTGAAATTACAGGCACATGGGACTTGTCAATTTCCTCTACGACTGTTCGACCCACTGTTTGGTTCCGCTAGTGGGTCCAGCAGGATTTTCAAGTACTCATGTTCCCTTACGTTTCATGGTGGCGGGCGTAGTGGCAGTGTTCCTCAGATCTTTGTGACATATGGCACTGAGTGGCACTAGAACTGTTATGGACAGGCGTGTCGCTTACCACCAGGCGCACAACTTGTTCGTCCTATCTTATATTAAAAAAATGCAGTTATAACAGATACAGCAAGCTGGTGTTGGGGGTCCAATGGAGCCAGTTTGACATGACTTTTTGCGATAAAAAGTTTAATTTTCGTGAGGATGTCTCATTAGCGTTGACTAGACCCTGTTGAGCCTTGAAAGTAACACCAAATATCTTTGACATCAATGTTCGTATTGTCAAAACAAGAAATTAGTTTTAAAAATTCCTGGAATGTCTAGCCTACCTTTACTTTATACGTGGAGTATTAAGAGACACACTTGTCCTTTGTAGTTTTTATACAGGTGCCTACTACTTAACGTACACAATAATATTGTTTAATTTATTAATGCTTCAAAGTCGTTAAAGATTTACAAAATTGTCATTAGTTAAGAACGTACTGAAAGAAAGGAAAAACGTGATTTAGATATGATAAATGTAATTTACAAAAAATCTAAAACAGTAGGCTTACTTTGATGGATTTACTGCGAACAAAAGACAAGCAAATAAAAGTTGTCATTTCATTTACATAGGTTTTACCAACAATGGAAACTTCGAATAATTAATATAAATTAATTTCCTTATTTTTCTATGCAATATGTTTGTGAAGGTTTTTTTAACTTTTGAGCTTACATTAGCATTCAATATGTGTAAATTGCGTATTCTTCTATTTATCTCTTTACAACTTTTTTTGTATTATATTTTTGTCCATTAAAGTTGCAGTGCCACTCAGAGCTTTTAAATCTGAGGGGCACTGTCATTATGCCTGTCACCTCAAAATATAAGTTGACAAGTCCCCTGTGCCTGTAATTTAATCAACACCCTTAACCTTCAAAACCGGAACGCTATATTACTCACATTACTGTTCGGCGGCAAAAATAGGAATTGTTGGGTAATTTTCCGAAAAATTCCAAATAGACCCTTTTCAAAAAAACTTTTGAATTTCGAGGACTCATATATTTGTCATACGTTTACAAATATCTTTTAAAGCTTTATTTAATATGAATTATAAAATAAACTTGTCTAACTAAAAGCCATCTATAGACAAACGAGATTTAAAATGATTTCCAGTGAAATTAAACCTATAATGGCTCCAACGTTTTCGTTCAGCAACTTTAACTTTTGACAGACGTCAACGTCAAATGTGGAAAATGAAAGGAAAAATGTTTGAAAAATATCCGAAAAAATAATTATTTTTCTGAAAAATATGATTTTTTCAAAATGGAAATTTTTCCATGACCCAGTACTAGAAATAGGTAAGGTGGCATTCCATTCCAGGTAATTCCATAGTAAAATAACAAAAGTATGGTAACTCCGACGAACTCTTTCACAAGGAGCTATACTGCTTCTAAAATCTTCTCTTCAACCCGCTCAGAGAACTTTTGTGGAGATGATCTAAACACTAAGGAAATTGAGTATGATATTATAATCTATAGGAGTAAATAAATATATTTGAAATAATTATAAAAGGCGCACGTTTCATCAAATAAGTACATTACGAAACATGTGTACTTTAAAATAAGTACTTAGGTACATAATGTCGCAATAACGATGCAATAAATTCTTATGTACTTCGACGATTTTATACCGTAGGTATTAATTTATAAAATAAGGTTACCTCACTTTGAAAAAAAAAAACAGTGCTATTTATAGGAAGAGAAAATAATAACGTGATAAATTGTTCTTTAAAATTTTTGAGTAAATGTAAGTGAACATTTCCTGCTATATCTGTTATTTTCAATTTGTACACATAAATACCTCTACAATACTCTACATTTTGCTCAATAAACTTCATGTAGATCCTCATGAGACATTTCATATCTTATAGCAAATAGTATTTACGTGTTTTGGCGTAGTATTTATAATTTAAATCTCGGTGTTGACTTGTAGCTCTATCTTCACAGATATATAAGATAGTTGTAAATGCCTGCAAACACTCTTACGGGAGTGACACTCTGAAGCACCGCGTTGTTTATCACTTCATTTGTTTTTGTTCATAGCCACTCTAGTGGCGGAACACCCCATTAATCCCACACCTTTAATATTCATCATCGAATCGACCGGTAAGTGATACTTTTAAGTAATGATGTATTTATCGTAATATGAAAGTAATTTTGCATATATTTCGCTACCGCTTTTCCCATAGTGACCAAAACAAAAATAAATAGTTTACGCTATCATGTGATATAATAAAGGTCTACAATAAATAAAAATATATAATAAAATAAATAATTTTAAAACATATTATTTAAAATAAATTCTTAAGACAGATGAATCGATTAATGAAGTATAACTTTTTTTTAATAAACCAACCTGAAAAGTTTCTGGAATTACATCTATTTGCCAAATTTTATTGAAATCTCAAACTGGATTCATCGCCTAATTTGTCACCCTTAGAGGTCGAATATTTTCTTCAAATTTAAGTAAATGGGAACACTATTGAGGTACCTCTTTTTCAACAAAAAAGAACTATCGAAATCGGGTCACAAATGTCGAAGTAACCGCGTAACATTCATACAAAAAAACAGAGGAATTGGGACGTCGTTCCATTTTGAAATCTGTTAAAAAATACACAAATTTGCTCTGCTTTGTGTCGATATCGAGTCGTGTAAATCGTAAACAATCGCTATTAGGACACCGAAATTACTATAAAGGCGAATTTTCTTTACTAAGTAATAGTTTGTTTTTTAGGTAGTCCAGTGTTAGAGTACCAGTACCAGCTGGTATGTCTCTGTTAATTTTGTAAATCACGCAACCTCGTTAGCACAAATACGGTCAGCGGGGTTGAATTAGCACACCGTAAAGTGGGTGAAAATAACGATATGCAATCAAGATAAATTAGATGTTTTTTTCTTTTCAGTAGCTTCTGATTAGTTGAATTAGACAAATTATTTATTTATTAAATAAGATTCTTGACTATATTTTTTATAATTTATTAAAAGGCCCTTGTGGTGTAAATAAATATCATCGAGTATATAACCAGAAATAGAGACGAAATGTTATTTAATTGGTTTGAAAACTATTCTGCCATATCATTACTGTGACAACTGCGCTCCGATTGGCCAGTCCGAGTTCGAAACAATTGACGGGTGTCGTCAACTGTTTCACTTCAAATCGACCAGTTAACTTGAGCTTTACTGTAATGGACGAAAATTGCAAAATTACATATTTAATATTTAATTACCGATGAAATGTGATTCCGTTTGTTTTGTAATTAGATGTTTTGCTGTTTTTCCCACACCACCGAATAGAACAGCAGGGCATTGTTAGAGATATTATCTTTATTACAATAAATACAGAATATTTTTTGGAATATACGGAGACGTACACACAGGTCAGTAATTGGCCTGACTATATTTCAGTGCAAACGGGAGTTGATATTTATAAGAGCTGTATCACTAATGTGTTACCAGGAATATATGGTCCTTATTTCGTCTCTATTTCTGGTTATATACTCGATGATAAATATAAAAAAAGATATTTGTTTTCGTTTTGGATGTTTTGCATCTTCGATTCTAAAGGCTCTTAAGTTATAATTTTACCTCGTTTCTCAATGTTAAAGAAGGAATTTCCTGACAACACGAATTTGTTTCTTTTCATGATATTGATAATACAAAAAATCACGAATAATAAATAAAAGAAGTACTAACTCCGCCATTACAGAAAAGAAGTAATATTGTATTTTCGTCGTCACATGTCCTTATCTTGGTCTTTTGAATTATGTATTGTCTTTACAATAAATAATTTTTTAGCTGTTATAACAAAAGCTATATATAAAATATGTTACCTATCGCAAACTAGAAACTTGATTTACAGAATTATGCTTCACCGAAAACCTTTCGGCTTTTATGAACAGATTTCATTTCATTTATCCGAAAACACTTTACGTGCACGTTACGTATTTTTATCATTACACTATTTAATGTTTCACTATTTTGGACACATTGATAAGGTTATTCGTTTCCCCGATTCTCATTTCCTCAACATTCCGTTTGTCTAATGTACCGAAGTGAATATTTTGTTTTTGTACAAATACGATATTCATACATCTAGTGTGTTTGTTTTTGTTTAACTCGGATTTAATTTAATGTAATTGATACAAATAAACGATACACTAAATTTATTTACTATCTTAAATAAGTTTAACGGTGTAATTAAAAAAACTCCAATAATTATTTAAAAGATGGTCGGAGATGCAAACAAATTTACTTATAATTTTATCTAATAATAATAATTTTATCGAAACGAATATTCAACAATCCCAACTATATGAAAAACCGACAGTAGGATAAACATAAATTCACGAAACAAACTTCTGCCAAAAAAATATATACGTGTAATAATTATTCTAATAATAGTTTTTCAGACAAACGATTTATGTATTATTATTTTCTGCTGTAAGATATTTCTATTTTACTAATTTATACCAAAAAAATAAAAGGATGGAAAAGGTCAAACCGTGTTCGGAATAATGAGCTTCGGAAAAAAGAAATTCGACTTTGTAAATTTGTAAATATACACGTATACCATCATTGCGCATACATGTATATTTAGGCAAATATTTGTAATTTTCACGTCAAATCTAAAGATAGTGAGACTGGCCCGTCGTAGAATTGTTTGCTATGTTCTTTTTTTAGTGTTCCAATTTTACTGCATTACTATTATGAATTAATTTCTATAAATAAATGGTGAGATAGATATTATTTTTTTGTAAAATCGCCAAATGTTACTTTAGCATTTTTTTGTGATTGGACGTACAAGCGGTGCGCCTGGTGGTAGGCGACACGCCTACCCATAGCAGTTGCAGTGCCACTCAGAACTTTAAATCGCAAAGATCCTAGGCGCAGTGCCACTGCGCCCGTCACCCTAAGTCATAAGGTGACAAGTTCCACGTGCCTGTAATTTTACCCTTCAATACCGGAACGTAATAGTTACATTACTCCTTGGCGGCAGAAGTGGGTAATGTGGCAGTACTTCCCTGGACTAGCACTTGGTCATTCTTGGTAGATCCTATATAGATTCAAATGACGTCTTATGACGTGAGTTGCCGTTTTTATTACATTTCAATTGCTTTCTAGAATATTAGCCTAGCCTAACTCCTAGTTTCGTTAGGAAAATGGTTTTGAAAAAAAAGTGTACCTGGCGCGCAAAGCCAACAAATCGTATACAGCTATACCAATTGCCGCTTTTACAAGCTGCTAAATTAAACACTATAACAAAAGACGTAAATTGTAAAGAATTTTCACACATTGTAGATATTTACGTGTGGCTGTATGTAAATACGTACAAGTGTGCTCTATAAAGGAAAACACGAGTATAAGAATATTTTTGGACGTAATTACAACATTTAAATTTTCACTGTCATAATATCTAACCAGAATTTATTGTTAAATGCAAATTGTTAACATATTTATCATATAAACCTTTTGTCAAAAGTAAATAATATGCAGTTATTTGACGACGTTAGGTTAAATACGTAAGCAAAAAACTAATATAACACATAAACTCAACTACATAGTATTAAGTAGGTACTGCACACACAGCATATCATTCTCTACAAATTCTCGCACTTCCGGCAGCTAGAGATTCAAATTTAAATTGAATTACGTGTATATTAGCTATCGTGTTCAACAATTGAAATCACCAACATCTAATTGTTACTGGAATGACATCACCGTGACGTCAAATTACAAATAAAATGTTTTCAGTACATAACTTAAGGACTTCTTATTATTCTAGTTGTATTATTTGGGTACCATACGGTCAAATCAAATCACATGTTAATTTAAAATTAGGGATTACTGATATCACGTACAGTTGAAGAATGTGTGAAAATTTATTAGTAAAATGCTTTTCCACCGGCGAGGCGAGACGAGAATTAAATTACATTAACAAATATTTCAATTCCCGCTTTGAATATCTTCGTCAATTCACCCTTAAACACCTAAATGCACCTGAAAATCACTTTTAAACGCGTAATTTAAAATTTAAGTTTAAATGTAGAATAGATTCACGCTAACGGCCAGCTGCTAAAAGTCCGAAAGATATAAAAGGGTGTGTAATGTATCATATAAGTCTTATTCACACAACGCTCAATTGGCATAACTTTACTTCCTATAAACTCATTTAATATAGTAATTCACTTCATATAACGAACATTTGATATATACTTACGTTTTATAATTTCATTTTTTATGACGATTACTTACACTAACACTAATTTTTAATAACGATCATAAATTATAAACCACAGTTGTCACAGCAACGTCTTTTTGTCTAAATTTCTTTTCATCTAAACATAGGATTATTTCCGAAAATCGATATCCCTAATACTAATATTATATTAATTATAATTTGGCCTGAAAACCTGTTCGGCAACGGAAACAAATTTGTTTCTGGCACTCGTCAGCTGCTACTGCGGCACGTTCGCTCCGCTCGCTCGGCTCTTGCTGCTTTTTCATGTACTTACCTAACTTTACCTACAAAATGGGAGCCGGAACCAAGATTTGACCTATGTAAAATACTTATGTTTTATTTAAACCACCAAGGAATCTAGAGTCTAACAATAATAATTTTGTCGAAATATGAAAAGTGATATTATACCACACAAAAATGATCTAAATTGACAATGTATGAAATGATTGTTATATAATATAAGCTTTATATCAAACTTAAATTATAGGAAGTGAAATTGGTCTAAATAAAAATTATATTAAATGAACGGTGTTTGTTTTGAAATTACTTTGTTTGATTTTCGTCTAAGGGAGACGCACCCGATATAAAAACTAATATTCGATCTGTACAATACCTATCTTTTTTGTAAATACTACTACGTATCCATTCTTTGTTTTTCCTCAAAACGATAACAATGTTATCTGAAACAGTAGCATTATTGTTGTCGACTTAAAACAGTGACACGGGACGTCAAACTAAATAAACACTAAATCACTACGACTTATGATACCGACCCGACTCTACACTGAGTTAATATTGAGTTTTCATATGACGCAGGGGAGCAGAAGTAAATAATTACTTACTTATATCGGATTAAAAAAACTGTCGG